AAAATATTTATCCTTGATCCAAATTTTTACTCTAAAAATAACTCATAATAATGTGTCATTTGCCTCCTGCCTACATCTCTTATTAGGTCCTAAAATATCAAAATATTAAGCTAACTTAGACAGCAGGACAAATCCCATTTATGTTTGACAAGCATGTTTTAAATCGTTACTTGCTATGGATCTGCTTACAAGGAAAATTTGACATGGTTTTGCAGCAGAATCTGTCAACTAAATAGCTCTTCTTTTCGAGTCCAATGTTATTCTAGTCTTGAATATCGGGGCTTTCCCATGAATGCGGTCCCATATTATAATATGTTTATTAGCCGCAGATGTTCTTCTCCTATGAAAACAACCCAGGCAATTAACCAATTGATAACCCTGAACTTTCTGTGACAATACAGTACTTAGATATGTATGACAAATTTCTTTCCTATCATATCAAAGCAGTAATTCCTTTTAATCAAGAATTGTACATAATAGAAGCAAAATTAGAGGATGGCGGTGGGGAAAGACACATGATTATTAGAACCAAGTTATCTCACACTTATCCTGTATCTCAACATAGCAGAGCTGAAAAGGTTCATTGTATAGCCTTGAGAGTCACTGATTTGTTTATTCTTCTGGCTTGCAGCAACTCAGTCAGTTTTACAGGGACCACACTGCTTTACACTGACAGGAGGAAATTGGTCCTGTACACATTTTAGGGGAAAAAAAGCCATGCTTGGTGAAGGAACACAATTAATATTTCTTGAATGTGGATGCACGCACAAAGGAAAATGTTCCAGAGGTAACTAACTGAAATAGTCACCATCATATAGTGACAATACAAAATTAAAACACAGCAACGCAGATCTCATCCAACATTTGGAATGGAGTCTGAAATGGAAATTAGGCTTTCAAAAGAGGTGAACAGCTTTATTCACCAGTTTAAGAATAATCTGTTTGACTAAAGAATAATTTATTTATCTTTAAGCCTTCTTCTACACTTAATTTTATTACTTCAATAATATGAAGGGTATAAAATACATGCCTAAACAGAAGCATCATAATGTGTCACAGACACAGCAATTTAGAAATTGAGAGGACCATCTGCGTAAGATCAAAGAGAGCTGGCTTCGAGATCAGATCTAAGCAGTGAAATCTAGTCATATAATACCTAATGTGTTCTCTTGCCTTCTGTAGTTGGAAAATGTTAATACTGAAATCTCAGAAAGAGAAATGTCATGCAGAGTGTTGGCATTTACTGGTACAATGATGTCACTGCTGGATGGATCAGTCTTGGCAGACATTATTTACTTTGTGCTTCACAATAAAATGGAGCATTCAAAACTTCTGGTATACTACATCAACTTAAGGTTTTTTGTTCTAGTTCATGGTCTTTTCTTCAAGCACAAGAAGCTTCATATGCCTCTCAAAATAATCAGAAGTCTGTGTTAAAAAGGACCACAATTTAGAGTTATGCAGAAAGCAAATGAGGAAAAGAAAAACATAACAAAAGATCTGCTTTATTTCTGTGGCTTTCCAAAGACTCATTCAATGATGACGGCAAATATATCAATTAGACCAGTTTCCTTTGATGGTGACTGGAAGATGCAGAAAACTATGGCTTCATAGCACTTTCTGTAGCAAAGAAACCAAGTGGGCCAAGCCAGACCAACTGCTACAGACACAGATCCAGCTGCAAGCATGACACATCCTGACATTGTTGGGTGAGATGTGGAAATGCAACCACCTCTTTTGCATGCTGGTTCCTGTGCAAAAGAAGTGCAAGTGCTCAGGCAGAAACCACAGCATTCTTTGAGTTAGCTGGTGATCTCGCTGATCAGCAGGCCATGCATCCGTAGACAGTCTTTGAGATTTTAATTCTTGTATAAGAACATATTTGCACTTTGCTGTTTTTCCCCCAAAGCTGTTTCTGCACAAAGTGAATACGATGCTCATGCTGTCACTCGTTTTTCTTTCAGTATGATTCAGCTGAGCAGGATACACGGGATTTATCTACAGTCATGTCTGCATTAACATAATCTCAGTCAAATGATTAGCCTTAATTCTTGCATCAGCATTAGTAACATGCTCCCTACAGATATAACTGCTGTGCTGATCATCAAAATGTTATCTGCATGTGAAAAAAGTATCTGGTTACAAAGCAAAGAGATAGCTTCTACATGACCTCCGTGAGCAATAGCAAATCTGTCTGGAGAATGGTGCAATACCAAAAAGTATCCTGGCAAATTCTAGATGCTTGATTAAGATCAAGGTCCAATAACCTCCATATGGACTAAGATTTCTGCTGGTGAGATATAGGTGAGTGCTGGGAAGAGTTGGGAAATGGAGATCCAGAGCTGAGAATTTCAAGTGAAAAGTGAAAAACAAAGTAGATATTGAGCCAATAACAGTTGGTAAGTTAGTCTCAGAAATATGCTTACCAAACTGTTAAGTAATAAAAAGTAATGATGTCTACAAACTGAACTATAAATACAGAAGAGGAAGATAGAAGCCTTGGTGATTTGGTGGGTACAGGTATCCTTATAATGAACTTTATGTGCATGTAAAATACTTTCCTACAAGAACAAAATAGGGTTTTTTCTCCGTGTTTTTTCAAGGTTGGTGGAGACAGCTTTCCAGGGTTTCTGATAAGTCATGGATTTGTAACTGTCTGACTGAATAGACTGATTAGATCCAAGGGGCCAAAACTGATATAGATGGCTACAAATGAGTACGCGATGAAGCACAGCTGTAAAGTTTGACTACTTCAGTACAAAAGCTCTGACTGGATCTATCCAAATGTTCAGCAATTGTCATATGAATAGTTGTTCTGTAGTTAATTGATTATTAAATATCTAACTGGAAATTCAAAACCTAAATTCAATTGCTGAATTGAAATAAAGAGGAAATGTAATTTTGCATTAAGGAACAAGCTGAATGCAGCTTTGAATGTGGAGTTGCCTTCAATTTATTTATAATTCAGTAAGTGCATATGAACTATTTAAATACCTTTTGATTGCCAAGTTGTATACGTAGGCTTTGATTTCAAAGTCAGTCTGGGTTTTCCTATAACAGGAAAGGCAGGAAATACAGTTTGAATAGTAAACAAGCCTCAATGGGATCAAAGCATTAACCATTCTCTGTGTCCTTTCAATTACCACTAATAGTTTGAGCGACTGCAGTCATAGAACAGATCATATAATTACCTGCTTTGGGAGGAGCTTCCTGTATGTTACCATATTTAAAAACACACTTATCCACACAATCACCAAAAGATGGGTCTCAGAAAATATGGTGTTAGCAATAAGATTGCTTTATTATATTTGCGATAAACAACTGTCCAGAAGTTCCAAAACGCAACAGAGTTTCTTAAAAAACATGAAGTGCATTCGGTGATGATCTGAGAGAGAATAAATAAATTTCAAGCATTGGTATGCTGCCTTAAGTATCTCACTGCATAGGTGCAAAAATGGCCTGATTTCCCACAGAGTAAACCTTGCCTTTACACAAAATCAATCAAGCACTTCTCATTCCTGTATCTTTAAAAACTTGTTTGAATCCAAAAATAGATGCAACTTTACTTGGACTCATATGTAATACAGTAGACTGTTATGTCAGTTATGTAAAAAAGTGCCAGTCTAGGTTTAATCTGCGTTTTAACGTGCTCAGCATACCTAATGCACTTTTTGTCTAGTTGTAGATCAATATTACAGAAGTAGGAACGAAAGTGTTCAGTTTTATCTTATTTTAAGCTGTGCTGCTTTTCTTTACAAGTTATTTACAAAATATTGGTAGTCTGGTGCCTGAACCTAAGAATATTACACCTAAACTTGTAGGCATTGCTTTTTGAAAGTAATATAATTTCTGTGATGCTTTAGACAAAATGTAATTTTTGTTCCAAGAAGCAAAGTTAATTTATAAATTATAGCAATTATTGGCTGAAATTAGCTGAAATTAGCTGAAAGCAGCTAGCTTTCAAAGTCTTTGTCTTAATATCTCAACACAGATAGGGTTTTTTTTAGTAAAACCTAGCAATACCATTGAGTAATTATTTACTGCAACATTTATTCTAACATAAGTTTAAATGGAGGAAAGGTCCATTGTGTTAGATGGTCTTGCATTTGACCATTAGTTGAACAGGCTAAATTAGGTTCTTTTAAGTTATCAGAAAAGAAGATATGTGAGAAGTAAACAGAACACACTGATTGTGTTAGTCTCCTATATAGTAGTGCAGACGGTATTAACAATTTTGAAAAAGACAGTTGTGTCTTTTGGAAAAGACCGAATTCCGTTAACTGTTTGAGAACTGATAATCAGATTAGGCTGAGTAACTTAGTAAATTTCTAAAGACAGAAATAGCCTAGTTGTATATTCAGAAATATCAAGAGATTGTTCTCACCTCTGGGATATGCCAAAGAGAACATCCCGGCTGGAGAATTCATCTGAGGTAGGGTAAACAAGTAGACTCTGAACAGTTCTGTTTGGAAGCTGTTCCTGTGAAGCTGTTGAATCTGTGTTGGTTTGACAATCAATATTGCCGATATTGTCAGTGTATCAATTATTTGTTATTTAATGACTGTCTTTTCATGGACAGTGATATTACTTGTATGCACTTGCAGACTGATGAAGAATTTCAAGAACCTTTCAAATTTTGTGTGAATGTCCATTTTGATTAGTTGTGACTTCATTATTGGTTGTTACTTCCCAAAAAACAAAGAATTCAAATATCCTTATCATTCGAAAATCAATAATTATTTTTTAGCACCGTTTCTTTGCACAGCCATGCTCAGTGTCATACTTCTGTTGAATGATCTTTTGATGCTGCTTCCTGTCAGACGACGCATATCCCTTCAACAACTCTAATTATACAAAATGCAAGTGTTTTGAGGGCCTCAGGCTAACCCAAAGATGTGGATTTGATGGCTTAGACTAAACTATTGACTGTTCCTTTGACCTACCAACTGCGGCCAATCTTTTTGCGCCTGATGTTTATTTTTATTGTGTTTACCCTACAGGGCTCTATGAAAACTATCCAACCAATGCAGAACCAGAATGCTGTGATGTCAGATGGGGACTATTATCAGATCACCAATCCAAAGGGACTATAAAAACAAGTGGCTCAACAATTTGTCACAGGACATCGCTCACAGTTTCATCAGCATCAAGACTGTGTAACAGCAGACTTAAACTGTGTGTTCTTGTATTAATTCTCTTACATACAGTACTTACAGTCTCAGCAGCACAGAACTCAACAGGACTGGGCTTTGGAAGCATAACAACTTTGGAAGATAATTCAACCAATGAGGAATAAAAGAAAGGATTCATCTTATATGGTAGAAACACAACAGGCCCAAATGACTACAGTCAAAAATAGCAAGGACTGAGTGCCCTACCCTCAGATCTCTTCTTGAATGACCTTTTGGTTAAAATGAAAAGAATGGGCCGCTACCCAAACAACAAGGACACGTGAACACAGCTTTTTATTGACTAAAAGGCTGTATGGTGACTTAAATTTCTCACACCATTTTATACACTGTGTTTTAATGTTTGGAGTTTCTTTTTGTTTGTTTTTTGCACTTGTTAATACAGGATTTTATTTTTGGGACGGTTTCTCAAAGCTAAATTAAGTCTTTTCTCTGTCGATATATTTCTAGTCATTGTGTGTGTTCATCTGATAGTTCTGTCTTTTATGTCCTGTCAGTTTCTATTAGAGGAATGACTGCTATGATTCCATGACATAGCAAAAAAAAAAAACAAAACAAAACAAAAAAAAACACAAAAAAAAGAAAAAAAACACAAAAAGAACACAAAACAAAATTTAAGAAAAAAAAAGAAAAAAAAAAGAAAAAAAAAAGCAACCACAAAAAATACCCAAACAAACCTAACTGTCCTCTTACCCATGGGAACCATTCATCTCCTTTCCCCTCCCATCTCCCGTTGCAGACAACGTACATTTGCTTCTGTCTGTGTAATCACAATGAATGGGTACACAATTCCAGTGTGCCTCTGCCACTGTTGCACAAACCAGTTGACTGAGCAAACCCAAAAAGGAGCATGAAGGGGGTTCCTTTTAGCTGAACGAACAAGTGCTCTCCTTACAAGGTGGGATCGGACAGTTAAAAAATGTAAAGAAATACATAACAAACTGTTGCTCCAATACCCGTTTTGAAGAAGTCCAGTCCTTTCTCACTGGTCAGTTGAACAGGAGCAGCCTTTTTCAGATATGCTATGTAAAACCAGTTATGCTCAGCAAGTTAAGTAGTTGGGAAGCCTTCATATTGGAGGTGAAGGATTGGCATTCATTGTGAATTACGTTTTGAGTTCTCCTGCTGTCACATAACCAGCAGCTTTCCATAAGGAATGGGAGCAAAGAGCTTCCAAAATCCAAGTCTTTTTGTCTCAACAAAATTACACTAGAAGCCTTTGAGCATCTATAATACAAAGTATTTCTTGGGTTTTGATTCCATTGTTTTTCTAGTATCTACATGTTGTTGAAAGTTTCTCTAGTTATTAAGGGTGCACAAGAATGTGTTAGCACAGATAAAGAAACTATTTTGTTTTAACTATATAGGACAACCGTTTTCATAAATGTGCAATAAAAACAGTAAAGATATACTAGGATATGAGTAGTCAAGAGAAAAGATTGTAATCTGATTGCTGATTTTTCATTGTTTGGGGTGGTTTTTAATTTGTTTACTTTTATTTTTGTGGGAACATTTCACCTGCTGAGTGTATGAGAATTTGCTTTTTAAAAAGGCTTTTTAGAGTTTACAGTAGAATCAATGGAAGGAAAAGTTAATAAGGGCTGTTTTTAAAAACTTTACATTCCTTCCTATTCTCTAACTACACTTGGGAAGTGCACTTTAGAGATGTTTGCTGTGTAGCTGGGAGTTGAAGGAAAACTATAGGAAATGTTCTCTTAGGAAATAAAATATAGTTACCTACTTTCTAGCTATGAAATACCCCTTGATAAATATTAATGTTGTAAGAACATTTAATCACTGGTGCATAATGTGTTTTTTGTATACACTTTATGGTCTGTTAAATTCTGGAGAAAAACAAAAAGAGGATAACCATACTGCTTAAGCGGTTCAAGATGCACATGTTAAGCTGCGAAAGCTCAAATATTTTGCAAGAATATTTGTTTTGATAGTGTTTTACTACAACCTGGACTGAGGAGCCTAAAATGATCTGTGCAAATATTACAACAACAAAAAGCACCAGCTAATGCAAAATTCTTCAGCACTGGTTTGTTTCTATAATTCCTCCCTTTCCTTCCTTGCATATGCTATATTTTGTTCAATAAAACACGGTGCTTTTTAGTTATTTTATTTTCTGTTAGAGGCACATGTATTAATTATACTGAATCGATGCAAAAAGTGGGGGAAAATGTAGAAATGCAAATGAAAAAGCCTTAACTAATGGTAGAATGTAGACTTTTGAAAGGATAGAGATGTTATTGAAAAGTGATGGAGCAATAACTGGGCAGTGCTCTGGTACTGTACAACAGCTGATGAGTCACGCTACTGAGAAAGCTCTTACTAGGTGAGCTCTTGTTCAACTGACCTCTTAATTCTAGTAAGTGTACATGGTCAGTAAACAGTTTGTTATAACCTTTATCTACCTCTGCTGTGCAAAGGCCATCCAACATCCGTTTCTGTGATGTTCCTCATAGTTTTCTGTTCACACCATTACTCACTGTCATCTATTTTTACACTGTACCAATACAGTAGCAAGTCTGGTTCATCCCAGTTGAATTGGCACATGAAGAAGAGTTATTATTTCTGGTTTGCCTCATGGTGAATTAATGTAGAGAGCTATCTTTAAGGCATTTTCTTTCTTCTTTCCTGCTCTTCTTCATCCTTCATCCCTTATTTTTCTATAAAAATGTTTTCAAGTGGTGTCAGTGAAATATATGACTCCTCCACTGCTTGGCTACACTCAGTCACGTGTCATACAATATCAGAGAGACATGAGGAAAAACAGTGACAACACCATCACATGCATAAAGTAGCCAAATTAAACTTGGGCAAAATTAAGCAGAAAACAATTACAGACTTTCAATTATTACACGAGTACCAGATGTAATAAATTCCTCCCGCTCTCCCCACCTGGAGTCAGTGCCTGAAGTTCAATGGTCTGTGAGTTTTCTCTGTCATCTTTTTGAGGTCTATTTCTTTAATTTTTGAAACAAAGAGTCACGTTGCAGAGGTGACTACTGCTGGGGTATCTGTTGCCATTTTCACTCCAGCAGTGTGGTATGCAACTTCTCTTGGTGGCACCTGGGACATCAGGAGTAGACAAAGACTCTTTTATGAAGTTAAGCAACACGTAATCATGTATGATGCAAAATTCCATTCCATCCATTCCTCATTCGTAATAGTTTTCCTGGCACAAATTTAAGCATGCTTGATATTGTGCACATATTACTTTTTTGCCAGAATAAATTTGCATCTTGCCACTGCTATAACTGCCATCTTGTTCCATTTCTCCTTGTACTGTATGCCTAATACATACATGATAAAGAGCTGGCTTAACAAAGAAGTAATACTAAAATATTTCTGCAAAAGACTGATGAGAAGAAAAAAAAAATAGAACAATATTTATTTCATGGTCATATGGAAGAGAGAAATTTCCCATGTCTTTTATTGTCTTATTTTCCGCGATAGGGAAAATCCAGATTTTGTGCAATATGTTAATACTGCTAAGCCAAATGTCATATAACATAACCAGAGCTATATGTTATTCCTTATTGCATTTGCATTTGGTAATACATTATATTGACGCTTTTCTTTCATTAAAGAGACAGTATCTTTTTTTTTGAAAATATAGCAGGTGAAGGTTGTCCTTCTGCACGCCATAATTTAAAGACAAAAACCAAGAAAACATTAGAACGAAGTTTTAGTTCTACAAATGATGAAACGAAGCCATCAGCTGCCAAAGAATCTGTGGAACAATAGATACAAACCAAACATAGACTTTCAAGAAATTCCTTCTTGAGGGTTAAATATAATGTTATTCTAAGTGGTTAAAGGAGAAAAAACAAAAGCTTTATTTCAAACAGCAGAGATGGCAGGTTTCATCTGGCATGCGATGTGGCTCTCAGCTTATATAGTTATACTCTTCAATTAAAAAGTGAGGGAAAAGGACGTTGTCTTCTGCTCTCTCTGTATTTCCTATGATAATGAATGTCCTTTTTGTAAGCGTTGCCTCTCTGCACAGAAGATACCTGCTTATCATGAGAGCTGAAGACACCTTATGTACACGCACACAAATTTACGCAGTGAAACCTGTCTTAAGTGACTACCCAAAGCACAAGCAAAATTCGTTTGCAGAGTAGAGGTAGCTTTAAGGAAAGCAAAACAAATTTCTCACGGGAAATGTCAAGATACATGTAAGCAGTCACCTAAGCAAGGGGTCCGTGAAGGTGCCTGGTCCTTACTGCAGCTTTCACTGTGTATCTCAGTGCCACAGCCCCGCTACGAGCCCTAAGCAGGCAAGCTTCGAGCTGGGCGCAGAGTCATGCTGACTTCAGTGGGCCTCGATACAGGTACAGGCACGCACCCACAAAAAATTCGCTGTAGTACGTAGGTCTCGATTTGTTGTCCGGTAGTCTTTACTCAGGAATTGCTTGTGGGCAGAGTGCATCAAAAGGGGATCATTGGGTTCAGCCCTTGCCAATTGAGTCTTAACAAGAGGCTGGCAATTCTGGTTTATTATTATTGTCTACTATTATATGACTCTGGTGAAGGAGCGGTTTCAAAATTTAGCTAGGAACGTGGAGGACAAACTAACAGAAACCTTGTCATTACAGAGGGGAAATGAAATAGCCTTTCTGAGGTAAAAAGAGGCTGTCACCTGTCAGCAGCTATCAGAAAACAGCAGTATTTTAGAAAAGCTTGGGAAAATAATATGTTCAATTCTGAATATGATAGTTCCCGTTAAAACTAGATTTTTGGATGGCAAATAGGACTGGAGCGCATACCGTCTAAATTGCAGGATTTAATTTGCCAACATGTTCTGCAACAACTCTGAGCAATCACATTTACTGAACAACTCTAAATTTTCCAGTATTTTCCAGCATTTTTTCAAAAGTTAACAAGCCTGATCTGTCCCTGGAGGGGGGAGCAGGGAGACAGAACTACTGTGAGTGATGAAACTAAAAAAACAAAAATAGAGCTGGGCCAACTTGGAAAACCTGTCTGAGAAACAAGCTATACTTCTTCAAAATATAAGAGACATGCAAAAAAAAAAAATGCATATGTAGGCGTAGATCTATATAGAAATAGTTCTATTTTCAAAGAGAGACACAAATATATGCTCTCCACAGTCATGACAAATACAGCATACTGTAGA